ATATCTGTTTATTTCACATTTTTTTCAGTTTGGTGGGACATAACTTTTTAGTCCATCCTTGAAATTGCTTGAATTTCAGGTTAGGCAGTGGTGGCACATACCTTTAATCCCAGTACCCAGAAGACAGAGGCAGATGAATCTCTGTGAGTTTGAGGCCAGCTTGGTCTACATAGCTAGCTCCAGGAAAGCCAGGTGTACACAGAGAAACTGTGACTCAAAGCATAACACTGATTTGTCCAGGAACTTATGATCTAGTCATGTCTGACCTCAAACTCACAAACGTAACCTATCTCTGACCCTGACTGCTAGGTTTAAAAGTATGTACCACCACATCCAGCCTTCTTTTTTAAAATATTTATTTATTTATTTATTTATTTATTTATTTATTTATTATGTATACAATATTCTGTCTGTGTATATGCCTGCAGGCCAGAAGAGGGCAGCAGACCCCATTACAGATGGTTGTGAGCCACCAGGGATGGTTGCTGGGAATTGAACTCAGGACCTTTGGAAGAGCAGGCAACGCTCTTAACCTCTGAGCCATCTCTCCAGCTCCCATATCCAGACTTCTTACCACGTACTTCTTATGTTATTATTTGGTCATTTTTGAAGACTTTATATATGCATCACTAAGTTATTAATTTGAGATTTATAAATGGGAAATCTATGTCTCCATGCTTCTTCCTAAACCTTGGGGATCAAAATGAAAGAAGGGAAAGAAAAAGGCAAAGATCCTTGAATAAAAGGGGGCAGAAAGAGCTTAAGAGCCAGAAGTGGTGGATAACTATGAGGAAATGGTGTCTTCTGGGCACAGCGGGCCAGATGCATGATTAGTCTCACAGGAAATATGACAGTATGCACAATATTTGTGCAAGCCAAAGCCCAAAAATCATCCTTGCGTGGAGATAGAATTTAGACATAATGTTCTACGTTAATGGGTGAGTTATTGTCGATTACTAGCTTCTGGAAGAGGAAGGGTCAATTTTCTCTAAGAGAGTAGCCCCTGATAAATTGGCCATGCTTTGTTGGAAGACCACACATAGAATAATATTTGAACATCACAAATTGGCCTTTGGAGGAAATATACAAAAAAATTGTTAGGAAGAAAAGTAGGTATCTATGAGAAAAATTAGGGGGGAAAGCAGGAATAGAATATAATCAAAATGGGACAATTCTGTAGGGCTAGTGAGGTGATAGGCCTGAGGAAAAAACTACTACCTAGTCAGCTTGACCAGCATAATTCTTTACTACATTCTAAATCATATCCTTTTATGTATAGGTAAATGTAGCTACCACCCCCTATTAAAAAAAAAACTTCTTTTTACAGCAAATAGAGATCATCAGGAAAAAAGCCACAATTGGATACAATGCAGATACCAACTGATTGTGGGAATCCTACCCTTAACAGACACAAATGCATCACAACTCCTGCATCTGTGACTCAGGAAACATCACAGAAGAGGAGGCAGAAAGATTGGAAGAATCCGAATATCAAGAGGTCTAGTAGAAAACAGTCCTTCTTAGAAATGACTTTAAAACAATACTGCAAAAAATGGCAAAATCAGTAGATGTGCTAATGTGGAAAGGGAAAAATTTCAGAGTCCAAACCCTAGACAGGGAGCTCCATACAACTAATGACTGCTGGGGTAAGGATAACTATCCTTTCCAATGGTTAAGCTGGCTTACTGGTTGTCCAAGTGAAGAGTAGTCAACCCTGAAATCATATATATGATATCTAACAACAAAGAGTACTGAAGAGGTTGTGTACATATGTGTACAAGGACATACATATATAAAATACTAAGCAAAGGAAAAAGGCTATCAACTATATAGTAGGAAGGGCATGAGAAGGGACAAGAGAGGGTATCTGGGAAGTGATAGAAAAAGAAAAGAAGAAGAATTAATGGTATTCTATTTCAATTAAAACATATTTTTAAACAAGTACCTAACTCTGAAAGAACTAATGAAAATATTCTTACAAAAATCTTACATACCAAGCACAAATCATATTTGGTAAGATATTAAATGAAAATATTAAGTAGGGTATATAGGAAAGTGGGTATGTATCTCAGAGGAGTTGGTTGGAGATCACGATGAAAACACATTATATAAGATTCTCAATGCAGTAAATAATTTTTAAACAAATTACAAAACAATTCTGAGATCATGCAATAGTAGAAAAAAATTGATGAAAAGTCTATTGTACTTGGCTAAGAAATGAAAACCTTAAATCATATTAGTGTTACCCAGGACTGTAAACAATGGCCTAGAAGAATTCCTGTACTGTTCGGTTAATTGTTCAAATGTCTGAAATGCAATAAAATAAAAACAAATATCCTCTGATTGGGATCTGCCACTATTATGAATAGCAATTATTCTATGGTTAAATGATTCACAAAGACAAAGTACACTTGTGCTGATGGAAATGCACAATTATGCAGCTCAAAAGAAAATTAACATGAAACGCATATCAGTTGTTTCTGATTTAAAAACAAAGAAAATTTTAGATAAGATATGATCAACATGTCATATCCACATACCTAAACTAACATGTGATATATACACCTACACTTACCATTGGTTTTTCTCAGTTCCTCCACAAGGCACTGTGCTTCCTCTTGAACACGGTCCTCAATGCTTCTTTTCCCCATGCCCAAATTCCGCAGAGTCATGAGTGAGAATCTTCTTATCTCTTTCCATGTGTTTCCATTGCTAAAAACAATGCCTAAAGAAATGGTAAAACACTAGAAAAATATTCTAGACTTATCTTAGGACTGAAGAGGGAGGAAGAGGGGGAGGGTGACTAGTGGGAGTGGGAGGGAAATGGGAAAAGGGGAGGAGGTGGAAATTTTTAATAAATAAATTTTAAAAAGAAAAAACTAAAATAAATAAAAAATAATATAAAAATAAAAGTCATATCTTATGTAAAGAGACAGTTATGTAATTAATCAGTGTCAAAATAAAGAATAAAGTATAAAAGAAAAAAAAGAAAAATATTCTAGAAACAAATGAGAGATCTGATGGGTGGAAACAACAGAGGTCCAACCTGTACCTAGGGAAGAGGTTCTACCCCTTCTTTCAGTCTTCACTTTCACAAGAAACAGTGTGAAACACTCATATAAGCATGTATAGTTACTTACCACGGCCTTTACTAACTCTTTCAGCCATTGGGAAGCTTCCTCTGCCAGAAAACTCCTCCCCGTGATCAATCAGAGCCTCCTTCACTGCTTCATACCCATGTAACACCACAGTGGGCTTCATGCCCAAGTACAGGGTGAACACAGGGCCATAGACTTTTGAGAACTGAAAATAGGAAAGAAAAATGTAAATACTAGCAAAAAAGGGTCATTTTAATTTTCATGGTGTCAACTTCATTCCCTCTGATATTATCCCTCATTGTATTTTAATAATATTTAGTTAGGCGAATCTCAGTTTCAAATGGTTCTGAAGCCTATTCATATAACATTATGGTGAGTGAATATCAGTTATTGATCACCTACAGTGAACCATGTAATGACTCAAGGCTCAGGTCGTTGTTACACAAAGATTACAATGTATTTTCCCACTAAAACATTCAGCAGGATGCTGACCACCTGAACACATCTGCATGCTGTCTGTTCCCATTCTCTCAGTGCCTGCCCACCTTACCCACAATCACTCCTGACACCCTTCTTACCATGCCACAGTTCCCCAACTCATGTATAAAGATCCTGTTTGAACAAAGACCACTCCACTCTGGCCCAGAGATGTGGAGACCCTCTACTCAACCACAGTCCACTATAGTTAGAAGACCAGAGCAGAAGCAGAAGCCAAGAACAAAATACCCAAACTACTAAAACCATACTACTATAATTAAAGATTTAATGCCTATACATCAGATTTCTGATGCCATATTTACAGGTTTAGAAAAACAACAGAGGACTTCATAGGGAGCACAAAAGACCGAGAATAGTCAAGACACTCCTAAGCAGTAAAAACACTGTTTGAGCTAAAACAATACCTAACAGCAAATTATATTACAGAGTTATAGTGGTATAAACCATAGGGCCCTCACAAAAAATACACAAGTAGCACAATGGAATAGACAAAATGATACATAAATAAAGCTTTAAGGTGAGATCCACTCAGTTTGGAAATGTAAATTTGTAAATTGCCACATTTGATTCTATTGAGCAACCAGATTAGGTATACTGTTACTAAAATCAGAGAGTGGACACCACAGGAGTTGTACCATAGGCATGCAATATTTCCTGGGGGAAAAAACCCCAGTTCATTCTATGGCAGAATTCTTAGCCCCAAACTTAGGGTTTTCAAAAATTAATACTGAATATAAATATCATCAGTATGCTGAAGTCTTAGCTTCATTCTTGCGTTTCTTGTGTTATCCCATGTCCATTGATCCATAGTTAAATTAAGCATCCGTTACATTTTTAAAGTCAAGCTTCAAATAGATAACTTGAGTAGAAACATATCTCTAAAATTCTACCTGACTTATTGAATAAAACATTACTCACTATTGGTCTTCAGTCAAATATAATGGAAAAGGTTGGTCTTTTTTTTTTTTTTTGTTAAGATAGGAAATATCTACAAACTTTGCAGTTTTGTGTGATTTTCTTTCTTTTTTTATACAATGCAAAGATGTAAGGGTCCTTTCATCTGAAACCTCACTCATTACTGAATTCCCTACAATGGCCAGCTCTAAGAGTCATAAGATACACAATACTTCGCAAGAGTTTTGACTTTGTGACTATTTATTACTATATTGCCTCTGATACTAGATTTTCATCTAAAGCAACTGTCAGTTTATCTTCCTTGTCAAGGTACTGGAGGAGCACAGAGAATACTTACATTGCTCAAGCATTGGCTGATGTTCTTCACATCTATTTGGAAGAAATTACCAAAAACTGGGAGAGGAGTGGGGCCAGGAGGGAGCTTCGCTCTCTCAGAGCTCTGTCTCCAGAGTGAGAGGAGAAGCAGACAGCAGAGGCTGAGCACCAGGACCACAACTGCATCCATGGAGATCCTTCTGCCTGGCACAGCTGTGCTCAGCCAGCATGGAGCTTTTATAACACTACCTGCACATTTAACATGTCCTTCTTTGAATCATCATTGACTGATCTGTCAGGTAACCTTTAATCTCTCTCTCTCTAGTAGACTTTGTCCTACTGATTGAGGTCAAAATGAGATGTTCTTTTCCCTTATCCTTCTTTACAGGGTATCCATTTGAATTTCTAGTTTAACAGTACAGATTGGAGTCTAAGTATTTCTAATAAGAATAAATAAACTTATTTGTAATGTGTAACGATTCTTGGGAAGCAGTAGATTAATCTTGAGATGATAGAAAACACATCAACCTGTACATTCTCAGGTTATTGACCAGGTAAAAAAATATTTGTATATCCCATGAAATATATTTATTTTTTTAACAAAGTTTTACTATGTAACTTAAGTTGACCTCAAACTGATAATTTTTTGTTGTATTGCCCCAATGGCTAGAAATATATTTGTACACCACATAGTCATGCATATTTAAAATACTTCTTTGCTTTATTGAACATTTGGACATATTTTGTTTAACAATGTAAGTCTTATACCTCATTTCATTTTTGGTCATTTATAAAACTAAGATAACAAAACATAGCAACCAGTCACACATCTTGAATTTATCTATCTATCTATCTATCTATCTATCTATCTATCTATCTATTAATCATTTAGCTAAAGAAAACTGTTTTTCAGTGTTGTATAGTTCAACAATGAAAGACCTTTTTTATCCTACAGGTAACAGGAAACAAAGAACTGCCAGTGTCTCACAGCTCAGAGCTGAAATAATTTAGAAACCAAAGTGACTATCTAATGGGCATGCATACTTCCCCAGCTTTACCATAGATTCTTAAAGAAAGTTGTTAGGACAGTATATATAAGAAATAAATAAACCTTAAAAAAAAGAAAGTTGTTAGAACAACATTCAAATAAGAAACATGTTTCAATAGTTATCCTATCCTAAGGAGTCATGCTGATTGTAATTCTAATTTTTATGTATATTTGTTCTTATTGTATATAGTTTTGTGTTAGGCTTAGAACTCTCTTATTTTGACAAAAGAGGGAAGTGCTGTGGGATCTCCTTCGGCTAATAGCCTTTAAGATAGTGGCCCACGTTGGATGAAATTTCATGTTATAAATGCAACTGAAAAGCATGGAATGGACCTCTTTGCTGCTGTATTTGGTTCCAGTTCCCAAAGCATGCGGAGGACTGTGGATTGGTACCCTCACTGTGAGTTTATCCCCAAATAAATAACCCTTTGTTGTACTCCCCCCCCCAAAAAGAAAGTTGTTAGAATTCTTCTTGTCCAACCAATACTGTAGTAAAACTGAATAACCACAATAGTCTCTAGACAGTAACGATATTTGACATGACCTAAACCTCACATAATAGCACCATCAAGTGAGTACTAAGTATTCAAGTTCCTTAGCCTAAGGAGATATTTCTAACAACCTACACTTTTTGCATTCTGCCCCCTTCCCTGCGCAAAAGCATTCATTTAATAATAGCCATCACAAATTCGTGACAGTGGACTATGGCACTATACTGACCATAGTCACTAACATTCACAGTAAACATGAATCTAGTTAATAATTAGGTCATCGTTGTTTTTACATAGAGGTCAGAAATGTTTGAACACGTTTTGTAATCTTGTCCAAAGATTACAAAACTCTCTACAAAGGGAGCTAAGATAACCTTCAATTTCCCAAAGCCATGGTTACGCTTATTATTTACCATGAAGTAAACAGGAATTAGTTGCCCAAATCATATTGCTCTAAAATCCAAAATAATAGATTTGAATAAAACAGTGTTAGTAGATTTCCTTCCGTGCCCAGAGTGATACTTGTTCTGGCACATTTGTAAGTCAGCACCAAGCTTTGGACCAACTTTTCCTTTTATAGAATATGAGAATCATAGAACATTGAAAGAAAGATGGACCTCTGCACTCAACTGGTCTGCATTGTCTTTGTTTTTTAAGAAAAGAGCTATTGATGATGCATGAAGTATAACCAATTACTGTAACTCATACAAAGATGAACTGACTCTTGAGAAAATATCTTATTGACCCTTCATTACATTTTGTTTCTTAGCTTGCCTCTTCTTTCATCAGCATCACATAATTTTAAAAAATATTTTGACATTTTTATGAAAAAATTACTAGTGCATAATAATCACAAAATTGAATAGATCCCATAGTGTCACTTTTATTCAAGTATCTCATGATTGTAACATTGTAAATACCCTTTCTTTATCCTCTTGTTTCCTCCTCATTGTGACTCCCAGTCATCTTTCTCATCTGAAATAGGACCTCTTCCATGTCTAAGAAATAATTCTCACTCAAAAAAATTAAAGGAAACAATTTATTCTGAACTGAAATATATATGGCAGAGAAAAATGGAACAATGTTTTCCCCAATATCTTGTTCCAAAATGGGAACAATTTCAAAGAAAAACATGAACAAAGACCTTGAGCTTGGGGAAATGGGATGGTTGGGATAAAGGAAGGGTGGACACGGGAGCAGAGAAATATATATCCTAATTAAGGGAGCCATCTTAGGGTTGGCAAGAGACTTGACTCTAGAGGGGCTCGCAGGTGTCCAGGGAAATGTCCCCAGCTAGTACCTTGAGCAACTGAGCAGAGGGAATCTGAAATGACCCTATCCTATAGCCATACTGATGAATATCTTACATATCACCTTAGAACCTTCATCTGGTGATGGATCGAGATAGAGACAGAGACCCAAATTGGAGCACCAGACTAAGCTCTTAAGACCCAAATGAGGAGCAGAAGGAGGGAGAACATGAGCAAGAAAGTCAGGTCCACGAGGGGTGCACCCACCCGCTGTGACAGTTGATCTGATCTATTAGGAGCTCATCAAGGCCAGCGGGACTGGGACTGAATAAGCATGGGATGAAACCGGACTCCCTGAACGTGGCGGACAATGAAGGCTGATGAGAAGCCAAGGACAATGGCACTAGGTTTCAATCCTAATACATGAACTGGCTGTGTGGGAGCCTAGCCTGTTTGGAAGCTCACCTTCCTGGTCCTGGATAGAAGTGGGAGGACCTTGGACTTTCCGCAGGGCAGGGAACCTGGACTGCTCATCATTCTCGGGAGGGAGGGGGAATAGATTGGAGGGGAGGGGGACATGTGTGAGAGGAGGGGGAGGGAAATGGGAAACAGGGAGGAGGCGGTAATTTTTCAAAAAAAAATAAATAAAAAATTTTAAAAAAATAAAAAATAAAAAAAAATTATCAGTGGACGCATTAGGTAAGGTGATTATAAAATGTAGAGAAAACTGAGGTACAGGCCTCAAATACTTTCTGACATTCTTATCATTTTGGTTGGTGGAAGCCCGGAACCAATTTATATATTCAAAATGATTGCCTAATCGTCACATAGATAATAGGTAAGGATTTTGGAAAAATTTGCTACAAATTGCCAGAAAGGAAGCTGAGACGGCCTGAGATCACTTGGTTCTGGGCTTGTAACTTTCTAACCTCTTCACAACACTAAAGTTCTTACTTTTTTAAAAAAAACATACAAACATTTATTAAACAAACCAGGATTCAATATTATTATTTTATCAACTAGACAACAGAAAAATTTTTCCTAGGGCAACAACAACAAAAAACAACCCCATAAAACTCCAAAACAAATAAAAGCACTCCATAAAACTATATGGACATATAAACAAAAATCACAGTAATTTTTTTTTTACTTGTAAAACAGGATTGGAAAATTTAAAAAGACAGGCTTTTGTATTGCACATGATAATTTCAAGTGAGCCAGCAGGTACTCAGCAGTGGGGGAAGAGCATCTGCATAGTGTACACTACACCTGTTACCACAGGAAGCCCTAGAGTGAGTCTCCCCACAATGAGAAGAACTGAGGAGGCTAAAAAGGGTTTGAGCCTGACCTCTGAGGACTAGGAGAGCTGCAAAGCCTCCTGCTCACTTTCCCTAAGTCATATAGGTAATGTTGTATATTACATGATCAACCAGAGGAAACCTCTCTGCAACCCTGAAATGACAGTGTGTAGAGGAATTCAAGGCTGTGAGGATTGCAAAGCAGATTGTATGGTAGCATGTCAGTTCTATCCACTCAGTTTACCTTCATGTTTACTTCTACCTTTAGAGAAGTGGCATTCACAAGTGGAATCCTCTACAAAGATACCTTTCTGACATGGTGGGCTCTGACAAGTAAAATAAGGAAAATAACTGAATTGTCAGTGTCTTAAGTATCTACCTTGCTTTAACCCTTATAGAAATTTAAATCCAACATTTTGAAAATGAAAAGAAGAGGAAAGATAGAAGGAACGCAAAGACTTGATTGAATATTCCATAAGTATGTTCTGAATTGGGTGGGTTTTTGTATTTGTAATACTTTTATCATTTTATAAATCTGTGTTACTAGGGTTTGCTGTTCTTGTGATTTATTCAGGCAAATTATCAAAGAGGAATAAATAAGGTTCTCCAGTGCTCATATTCCCACAGACACACTACTCAATTAGGTAGTCTTAGAGCACTAAGAATTAAGAAACCAAGTGAGACTCTATAATGTTCAGCCTAGGTATAATGAAAAGAAAAATTACATTCAAGAACATATGAATCAAGACTTGTCTCTGTCATACCTACTTCCCTATAGTTTAGTTAGGAACAGTGGATACATTTGGAGGATGAAGATCATTTCCTAGGACTCTAAACCAGTTCTGAACCAATCGTGATAACACTTCATTGCTCCACTCCCTTTGCGTATCTGCATATTGACCTTCTGGAACAACATTGACCTGCCAGCCATGAACTGTCACCACCACCCTCCCCAAATCCCCACTGCCTGTGACCTGAAGAGAGACATGGTGGGTGGAGCTAGCAGAGACTCTTGCATTGGTTTCAGTGTTTGCTGCAATTCAGTGAGATATGATAGGCAAGGACTCATGTCCCTGTGCTAAGGTCAGAGCTTACAGATGGAGCTTCTGGACCTGCCATAGAGTCCTGTGGCAACCTGTGCAGCCATGGATAGACACGCCTTACATCACTGACTGTACTTCAATGTTTCAAACTTTTGACTCTTTTGGGGTGTCTGCCAACCAGCTCCTAAATCACATGGAGGCTTACAGTTAGTTACAAATATCCAGCCTTAGCTTGGCATGTTTCTTACCAGCTTTTTTTAAACTTATATTATCCTGTCTACCTTTTGTCTCCGGACTTTCTCTATTCTCTTACTTCTGTGAGTCTTACTTTCACTCTTACCCTGTGGATTTTTGTGTAGCTGGATGGCTGCCCCCTGATATCTTTCTCTTTCTTTCTCTCCTTCCTTTCTCCAAGATTTCTTCTTCTATATATTTGCTCTATCTAAAAGCCCTGCCTATTTTTTTTCCTGTCTTGCTATTAACCATTCAGATTTTTATTAGACCATCAGGGTTTCTAGACTGGCAAAGTATCACAGCTTCATGGAGTTAAAGAAGTGCACCATAAGCAAAAGCAGCAAACCTTAATATCATATTCCCCAGCACCTGGCGGCTTTCTATGGCTACAAAATTACAATATGTCTGAACAGTATTTTGGTAGAGAACAGACTTTCCCTAGGACTTCTGTCACCATCCAGGATCCAAAGCCAGGAAGCAAACTTTAACACAAATATGCTTTGTGGGGAAAAATATAGCAGGTGATAACAGGTTGTATTATAAATTCCTGACAGTCATTACTTCATGGTTATTCCTCCAAAAGACAGGCAGAATCTTTAAGTCCTGACCACAGGCTGGTGGCTGTAGAAAAAGTGTGAGGGACTACCACAACCCCAGAGACAGACCACTCTCTGCATATACTCTTTCAGACACACAATGCCTATGGATTTAGACAAACCTGGACTTGGATCATTTTTTACGGGTAAAATAGCAAAGGCACACAATACAAGACTGTCAGCAAATATGGACAGAACTTGTAACATGTAGCTGTGAAATAGCAGGTGATGAAAGTCTTCTGGAAAAGATAATCAAAAACACAGTGAGATATCACCTCACTATAGTACTGTTCTCTACTATTAAAATGATTATAGAAAGCAAGCACTGGTGAGAATATGGAGAATACGGATTTTGGAAGATATAAAAAATATGTAATAAGGATATAAGCACTATTGGGGCAGTGTTAACTATCACTCTCACAATGGAAAGCAGCCTGGAAATACCTCAAAACTTAAAAATCAGAACTACTATGTTATAACAGTTCTAAGGTTGTTATGTACCCACAAACAATAGAAAAAAGTGTACAGAAAATACTCTTCCCTCTTTTGTGTATTGTGACAGCTTTTTGTTATAAAACAAAAACCCAAATCACTTAGGTGTGCATCTACTCCTACCAGACAAAGCAATTATGTTACATCCTTATGATAGAGTGCTTTGCTGCCATTCAAATGTAATCTCTCTCTTGCCATAGCAGTGAAACTTACTGTGCTGAAGGAAAGAAGTAAGACACTGAAAGACAAGTTCCGTACTTAGTCTCCCGAGGAATGCAAAGTTTAAAGATGAACAAGAGTAAGTAGGCAAGGACATACATGGAAGGGTTTGTGAAGGGGAAATGAAGAAAAAAAGATGAAATTATATTCTTAATTCAATAAATAGAAAGATATTTTTAAGTAAATATTAATAGAAATTTAAAGTAAAAGAATAGTTAATTGAATTTTGAGAAAATTGAGAGGAGAGAGAGCTCTGGAAAAGGTTGATGATTAGATCTGAATGAAAGGTTTTCAAATATTTGTGATTAAGTGTGCTGTATAATTACAAAACAAGAAGAAACATTTTTCACTCTTTCAATGTAAATAAATGCTTAACTTTGGGAATGGATATTTTAACTTTTTAATTTTATTTATGTGTATGCTTGGTTGTCTGTGTGTTCACTACATTCATTTAATACCATCAGAGGCCAGAAGAGGGTGTACATTGTTTTGCAATTGGAGTTTTAGGCTATTGTAAGAGTCCTGGGAAGCGAACCCAGGTCCGTTGTAATAGCTTATATCTACCAAGTATACTCTAAATATTTCTTATACACCAATGGTAACAAAACATATTCATAGCATACAGACAGATATGCCATGCAGAAAAAACTCGAGATGGAGAGTTTATTTAGTGGGTATTGGTAGGGTATAGGATGGTAAAGTGTGTATGGGGGGAAGGGAAGAAAAGAGAGAGAGAGAGAGAGAGAGAGAGAGAGAGAGAGAGAGAGAGAGAGAGAGAGAGCTGCCTCTTCAGAAAAACAGTGGAGAGAGAGAAAAAGGGGGAAAGAGTGGAAATAAGCTTGCCTTGGCAGAAAGGGAGAGATAGGTAGTGGGCAGACCATGCCTCTTAATGAGACAGGCTGCTACCAGGGAAGGCCAGCAAAATGGTAACATTCCATCTTTCTCTTATCATAAAAAGGGACAATGAGGGCTGATGAGAAGCCAAGGACAATGGCATGGGGTTTTGTTCCTACTTCATGTTCTGGTTTTATCCCATGCTTTTTCAGCCACAGTCCAGCTGGCCTTGGTGAGCTCCCAATAGATCAGCCCCACTGTCTCAGTGGGTGGGTGCACCCCTCGTGGTCCTGACATCCTTGCTCATGTTCTCCCTCCTTCTGCTCCTCATTGGGACCTTGGGAGCTCAGTCTGATGCTCTGGTGTGGGTCTCTGTCTCTATCTCCATCCATCACCAGATGAAGGTTCATATCTTGCATATCACCATAGATTATTATCTTAAATGTCACTATAGAACCTTTGTCCAACAACATAAGGAAACAGAGGCAGAGAAATACACATGAGCACAGGACTGAGCTCCCAAGGTCCAGCTGAAGAGTGGAAGAAGCGAGAATATGAGCAAGAAGGTCAAGACCATGGGGGGTTCACCCACTGAGACAGTTTGCCTGGGCTAATGGGAGCTCACCAAGTCCAACTGCACTTGCAGCGAATAAGAATGGTATCAAGGTAGTCCTTCTGAATGTGGATGATAGTTGGGGCAGACTGAGGGGGCACTGACAGTGGCACTGGAATTTGTCTCTACTGCATGTACTGGCCTTTTGGGATCCTATTCTATTTGGATGTACACCTTGCTCAACCTACATGTAGTAGGGAGGGCCT